CTTGTAGTTTTGTGAAAATTAAATGCTTTTGTGAGGTGAAGCAGTTCATGCACCTTTTGATGTTGGTGAGCTTATAATATCAGCAACTGTACAGTTTTTGTTGAAATCATGGCAAATAATAATTGTCCTGATTAAAATACGGCGATAGTACGAACCAAACAAGCTATTAACTGCAATGGTTTTTGTGGGCAAAATTATGATATTTCTTGTGCAGATGTACCAGCTGATGTGCTGAAAGTGCTAAAAACGCTTGGCCTTTTTTGGTACTGTCCCAATTGTAGCCAAAATAGAAAATATTATGAGCATTTCATGAAGAACATACTACCATCCAAAGTTGAGAAACTTATATTCACGGAGGCACGATCTACACCCATAAGCAAACCGAAGGCGCTGGCTTCTCAGGATTCATCAGAAGACAAATATGAGGTCAAGGAAGTAAAGAATCACAACCCGCGCGTGAGGATCGTAGGGTTGTCCGATAATTTTGATAATGACGGACTAGTCACAATATCAAAATCTCAAAATCATATTCTTGATAAATCAAGTGACTTTGAGTTTCGTAAGGTGTGACCGACGGAAAGACGTCAAGATTTTCATCAGGCTCTTTTGGAATTGGATCCCATCGCGTATTCGGGTCTGTTAGATCAAGGTAGTGTGCCAGTGAATGTTGGTAGCTGTGTTGTGTATGATGCTTTGATGAATTATTTGTTGTTCACATTTACTATTAATTTGTATACGTCTGGCTTGCCTGAGCAAAAATCCATTCTTTCAACTTTTACTTGAAATTATTCTCAAAGCGTAGACCCTTTATATGGTCAGGTAAATGTATGTATAATTTTGGACCTAAATAAATGTATGATCGTTGTGTTATAGATTTATTTGGTCTAAGTACAACTGTTCCTCTTAGTTTATGCCTTGCGTGGTGACTGTGTTTAACTTTTTGATTCTTATTACGTAATAAATTTGTGATAGATCATAGCATGTAAGAGATAAAGCTGTTTTAAGTCATTTACGTGTATATACCATTGTATAAAATATCGGTTGGATATAATCTTGGTTTGTTATACACTGTTTTTAAAATACGCATATTATAAGGTATAGAGATATTTTTCTTTTAAAATGTTTTTGATATATTTAATTTTATACGACTCATATCCAACGTTTTTTAAAATATGTGGAATATCAACATCCCAACGCAAGTGTGGATCTAGGGCTAAATCAAGATATTTTCTATCTGATGCTCTGTTAATTCCTAAATTCTGATTATTTACGATGAAGGAGATGTGTAATTTGGTAGATTAAGCTACTGCATAGTTTTGACAAAATCATTTCCAACTATATTTTTCAAATGAAACCAATCATCACCTTTATGAAAGTAATATGTTCAAACATCTGATGCGTATCAGATATTTTCAGTTTGTGGGTAGGAAAATTTCAAAAAATAGACATGATTTGGATGGGTGGGAAGTACTGAATTAAGCTGCTTGACACTATTTTTTTAAGAACTTTTATTGTTAAATTATCGATTGATGAATATAATTTAAATGTTTTGAGATTTCCTGCCTCTGAAGACAGTACCAAGTTCTATAGTCATAATTGTCCCAACATTCTACGGTACCTTTAATCTGGAGAGTCAAAAATAGGAGGCGTGGTATACGATCTTGGACTTACTGATCGAAAATTTATAGTTTGATGTACGGACTAAAAACTTAATAATTTTTTTTTTCACTCACTTTTTCTTTCACATGCTGGAGCCCCTGCAGGCTAGGGGCCCCTTATCTTTGTTACGGATAACACGGCCGTAGCTACACCCCTGCAGATAGGTCATGTTTGAGACTCCTTCGTTATTTTCTGAACGTTCTGTAATAACTCTTTTTTTCTCAAAAAACTTGTTATGGGAAATTTTTGGATATCTAACAGACGTGTTATTGACTCTATAATATAAGAATCACCTGAACGCTTACACGATTTTTTTTACAAATGAGTAAAGTAGTTTTCACCATACAATTTCCTTATTATTTAAAACATGTTCAACGAGATCCCTTCAACTTTTTTATAGCAGTGGTTGTACTCCCATATATAGACTTTGCCAGCACAGCTGCTGTAATATTAAAGGGAAAAGCGGTTAAGAAAGCCTAATTGCAAAAAATGAAACATCTCCCGACACTCCTGGCGAGATATGAATGCATCCAACCACTGTTCAAACGCCCGCATCCAGCCGTTTTTTGTTCACTAAAACGTTGGAGTGACGTTAACTGCAACTGTAAAGTGCCTCACCTCGCTAGCTGTGATAAAGAGCTACGTTTTATTTATTCTTTCACCTTCATGTTCCTTTGTGAACCTGTCACACCCGTATTTAAAGAAACAACGAATGCCTTGTCACGGTAGCGTTGACTGGATTTTCAGACAAACTCTCAGACCAGCTTTAATTCACCTCTCACTCTAATATAGACCGAAAAAAATGTTAACTCCCAAAAAATATGATGCAGATTATTTGATGTCACCAGTTTTTGTTTCTGATTTTCAGATCTAATGAAAATTTGGCAAAGACAGAGAAAACGAATCTTACTTAAACTATGTTGTGAACAAACTTTGTTTGATTGATTACAATTTGTCTTCAGAGTGCAGATAGCGGATATTATTAAAAACTTTACTCTAATAATAGGATGCATTAAAAAACATTTTCATTCTATTCTCGTTGCCTGTAGCTGCAAGTGAAAGAAATTTTAGCACTCAGATAGCCTGGGGTGCTGATTTAGAAATGGCTCTCACATAATTATAGTGTTTGAAAATGAGATATTATGTTTTTTAAATGTTACGCGACATGTACACCACGAAAAACTTCGTCACTCATTTCCATAGCTCTGTACGCTAATCCTTCTCTCCTCTATAACAGGCCTGTGTAGTTGACCCCAAAAAAACCGGGGGCTTATAATTTATTTATGTCATTCGTTGGTCCATCGTTTGTCTTCATTTGTCCACCAATTTATTTGATCTTTTCACCCTTTGTATTCTTCTAAAATAAGAAAATAAATTTTGGGGCTAGCTTCACGCAGCCCCAAAATTGTCGAATACGGAAGAAAATATTTGCTCTATAGTTTGTTCATAATTAGTCCACTTTTGTTCACCTTTTAGTTTCATCTGTCAACCTTTTGAATTTGGTGGAAATGCCGAAGAAGATCGGACAGCCCTGACCTCAAATTTCTAGTGAAGTGCCTTCTAAATTGCGAGAAAAGGTTTTATTAGGAATAAAACCCGATCTCGATATTTGCTGCACATTTGAAACATATCATCTATTCACTAAATTAATTAAAGCAACTGCTTGGAGCCTAAAAATATTTTTTTTAAGAATTAAGTTTCGGGCTAACTTTACACCCCTGTAAAATTGTTGGAGACGCTTCATGAAAGATGAACATCATTGCATTAGTTTGTCCACGCATCGAAAACGTTTCTCCACACCACAAATCTAAAAAAGAAACAATCCTCCGATTCCCTCGAACATCTTTTAAAATACTACTACGGGGTCTAACTCCATACCCCCAAAAAATAAGTTGATTCGTTTGGAAATACGTTCCAGCTTTCATAATAATAATAACGTAGATATTACTCCATAATCTCCAAAATGGCCAGTCACATTGTAATAGCTCCAGTGATACGAGAATAATTGAAAATGAGTATATGCATGAAAACAAGCCCCGTGGAAAATTAAAGAAAAATCATGTTTTAAATGCCCTTCTATGTGTTCTTGTAGAGCATCTGGAAAGCTTTATTCAAAGTTGCATGGTGAGGATATTAAGTTGCCAACTATTATTTGTTGAGGTGCGATTATATAAATTAGATGCAGCGCTACGACTTGACATGGCTGCACAAGATTTTTTTATATCTACTCGTATAATGATTCCATTGGATGGCTAACTAAATGCACCCACATCCACCTTTGCCTAATCATGAACAAATGTCTACGGTTGGTAGATAAACGAATGCAATTATGTACATTCTTAATGAAGAATCTTCGACAATTATGTAGGGGTGTGAAGTTATCCCCCATAGTAGTATTTTAATAATTGTTCGAGGGAACCGGACCATTGTTTTTTTAGAGCTGTGGGGATGACAAATGTTTTCGAAAAACGAATGCAATGCTGTTCATTCTTGATGAAGTGTCTCCGCCAATTTTGCAGAGGTGTGAAGTTAGCCGCATATTCAGATCTTTAAAAAAGATTTTTAGGCTCCAAAGGGTAGCTTAAATTAATTCAGTGGGTGGATGATGTGTCTCAAATAGTAAGCAAATTTTAAGAACTTGTTTTGTTCCTAATAAACCATCTACAGCAATTTTGAAGGCATTTCACTAGAAATTTGAGATCAGGGTGGACCGATCCTTTTTCCATTTTCGCCAAATTCAAAAGTTGAACAAATTAAACTAAAGGGTGGACAGACGTGGACAAACGAGAGAGCAAATCGTTTTTTCACTATTCGAAAATTCTGGGGTTACGTAAAGTTAGCCCCAAAGTTTATTTTTACACTTTAAGAGAATACAAAGGGTAGTCAAACCAAATGAATTGGTGGACAAGTGATGAACAAATGAATGACATGAATGAATTGCAGGTTCACAGACCTCTCCATAACTCATACTGTACTGCTCAGATTTGGATGAGACCTTTTCAACAGGTTACAGAGGTTACTATTATGCCAAGGACGAAAAAGCTTTAGTTTTTGAAAATCCATCCAGTGGCGGCGGATAAAAATGTTGCTCAACTGCCACCTCGAAACTTGAATTGGAACTTTTACGCTAAAACATAGTATTATTTATGCATCATTATCATTACCCAGAACTTCAGCTTCCATTCGATGATGTGTCATTATCTTAGCTTCGTTGCAAACACGAGCTTAATACTAACCTACTCGCTACCAATACAGTGCAGTGCAACTAAAAGCAGTATTGAATTACAAGACCTGGTATGTATTATAAGTGAACCACGTATATCTTGTAGCGAAATATTTACCAAGAATGCTTTCTTATCCATTCCGTCTTGGCAAGCGATATCTTCTAGAATGTCGTGTCGGGATGTCTGATGGCCTCGTGACTCGTGACAATCCATCCCCACATAATTTAGCAAAGGCTGCCGCCTTTCTTCAAGCATTCGGCGGTAGATCAAAGAACCTTCACCTGCAGAATTAATTTTTGGTCCTCATTTCGTTAGGGTGGAAAAGGGTTACCGTTAATCCAAGTAATAAAACTATTGAGCGGAAACGTAGGCCGAACAGTGGCGGACGTGTTCGTATGCCGTTTAGAAAGAAAGTTGGAAAACATATCCATTAAACGAAATTTTGTCGGATTTTTGTTCAGTACCGTTTAAAAGAACGTAAATGTTGCACGTACTTGTTCTGCGACTGCAGCTTGTCTGCTCTTGCCTTTGGGTCTTGTGCGTAATGATTATTACCTTAAATAATTTTCTTCATTTAATTCCGAACGCTCACTTTTTCCTGGTAGGTATGACGAAGCGAGGATAGTACATATAAATCACGAAAATGATGAGTTTAGTTAGACATTTTCTGATATTACCTAAAAATTGATGGAATACTAAGATTTCCAGACTACATGTTTTGGCCCTTTCGGTGCATTTAAAGTTTACCCCAGGCAAATTATTGTTTGAGATTGATGTTTTTTGAAGTAGCATATATGTTTCTATTGGACGTGTTCCAGGACATCGTGTATAACAAAAGTATCGACTTAAGCCAGTCTGGCGAGGTGCGGAAAATTATTAAAAATGAAATTGATTAAATCGCTCATTTTGTGACACTGGACGAACACATCTCATCAATAGCAGCAGCTGCTCGTAAAGACTAGTCTATTTGCTCAGAGGAAACACAAAAATCTTCTTTTGTCTTCAGTTCAAGCCTACGTTATTTATATACCTATTATTTGGGTACATACATTTTTTAATTATCTCATTGATAAACAAACGCTCAAAATGTACTTTTTCGAAAAATACATGTATATCTTTCCATATACAGATTGTATTTCTAACAATTTTATAGATTTAAAAACTTCAGATGTGAGACTACTATTCTAAACACAAAAGATTATCATCCTAATCACAAAAATCTTAAAATTTTCGTCATATGTTTAGAAAAGACCCAATTTATCATCAGAGAGCCACTAAGTCAATTAGCTTGACTCAAATCTCTTTAACTGATAAGATGACACCAAACTTCACATCAAAAAAATTGATGTTAAAGTCTATTTACAACTTTTTTAAGAAAAAAATTAGAGCAATATATCGCTTTCCAATATTTCAGTAACTTCATAAAATCCACATAAAAAAACACAAATAAAATCATGAATTTAACGCCAAAATGAAAGAGTACCCTCTCCAGAGGACAACTGCTATAGAAGCCCTTCAAGCTGATATAACAATGAAACCCAAGCACACACCTATTTTCAATGAAATGAATACTGATATACTTCTCTCCCTTTGGAGAGGAGCTGTACTCTCTGTGCAATTAGTCATACGTAGTTTAAAATCAATGGTGTCACAAGGTTTCCTTTTACGCGCACAACATAAATAAAAAATCGAGAGTGGGCTCTCTATACGAGTACCGCTTTCCTCACTCCCATTCTATCGAGTCTCTCTCCTGGACAGAACCGTATTAAGAGGTAGCAGAATGATCAAAGGTCGTGAAGACATGCTATTTCATTTATTTTAAATGTATTGTGCCAATTGTCCGCGATGCAAAGCAGTATAAAATAATGCAAGGTTAATGTAACTTATCCTGTGCATTTCATGTTTATAAGACTCCATTGTTTGGTCAAATCAAAACCTCATGTATGTTCAGGTTTCTGTTTGTTGTTCGATGATTCGACCGTCGCTGTGGTAATTTTACAATTTGTGAACCAGTTAATTGTTATGCAATATTCGACTACAAATGCTGCATGTGTATTGTTTATGAATCTGAAATGTGAAAAATTGTACTTTGACATCTAAGGAGAATCATGCTGTTTGTTTTATGCGGAATATACGATATAATAGTCTGTGCTTAATATGGCAAAGTAAACATCTGCACATTGTAAGTCCAACAAAAAATCATAAGGAAAAACTAGAAACAAAAAACTCATGATCCATCAGTCGATTTGGGGAATACCATATAGGTCTTTAATGAAAACTTCAACGACACTCAATTTCGTTATCCTTTTTGGCTAATTTTGTGGTTATTAATGACAGCTTTTCTTTACGAACAGGAGATATCTTCGACGTGACCATTATTAACCAACTGTTGCTTGTCAGTATCATCTACTGTCAGTTGGTTTCCTATTTCGCTTCATTTGACACAAATCCAAGTACATAACAAAGACAAACTAAAACAATAAAATAGTAAAAAACTATCTTTATGTACTGTGTATAGGAATCCCGCACAATATTAGTGCTGATCTTCCCTGTACACTACTGTTCCGACTCTGTGTATAACGATAATGATTATGCTGGAAAATATGTTGACGAAAAATTCATCTACCCGTATTGTCTAGGTACAAAGAACACTTTATATAAAATACAACAAAAATATAACAAGGAGCACGGGTGATGGTCACACAATTCTAAATTTATATTGATACTCTCCTCGTAGCTGACTGTTACTGATGGATCGAGTAGTATCGCAAAAAATACTGCTAGGAACAGGAACAGAAATTATAAGCGCTATAGCGATATCTGCAACTATAGGGCCTATGGCTGGTTTCAAAGCTTATAAGCAACCTTATTTGTTCTTACTATGGCATGAAGTAACCAGAAAGTAGAAAACCAATTTTAGGTTTTTCAAGTATTGACTCCCATCGCTGTGATCACTCGAAAAACTGGAAAACTGACTTTACTCCGTTTTTCTTATGTTTTGTTCATTTTTCTGCCATCACTCGTGAAGGCATACGAAAAGGTATTTTATTATTGACATAGTAGTGGCTTGGTGTCAAAGTTCCATCAAAGTTCCAGCAACAATGTCCAAGCTAGAGGAATACCGGTGCTTTTTTTTTCTTTATACCGAAGCAGCTGCGGAGGTAGAATCCTAAATGCCAGGACACCGCGGCTCTGTTAGAAAAGAGTCATCGTATCTTTTTCGGAAACCAATTTGAAAAACCGGCGCTATGACTGGTTGATACATAATACAATTATGCATCTGAATTTGAATGCTGAACAGCAGACAACTCGTCGCAACACTCAACCACTCAGTGCTGAAAAAATTATTTTCAGATCCTGTACCTGTACCTGCTTCTGGCTAGGCTATTTCCGAAGCGCGCACGCCGACAGCTCCTGTGCTGAGAATGTGCTGGCATTCGATGTGCGTCAAGCCCACTCGGCTTATAAATACCAGCTAGAGCGATTTAACTGTGGTATTAGTTTGGAAGAAATGGCAAGGAAATGTATGCTGGTAAGCGGCAAAGCTGTCAAATTCAGTTGGTTCTTACCAAATGTCAACTTTATATGACTGGCTGTAACCAGTAAGATGTTTTCCTTTGAACAGTTACAGTAAAAGTTTGCTACTTTTGTATTAAGGTCGCACCTTCCTTTTGAATTTTTTAATTCATTTTTTCTGCGATCAACAAATAATATTTTAGCTCTCAAATGGTATGACAATATTCCACTCCGATACTAAATAAGCTTTGGTCATTACTTTTTTACTTGCCGCCTTTTTTTCAAAAAATGGTTCTGTTTTCTAGAAAAAGCAAAACGAGTAAAAAAAATCATCCTGGTCATAGAAAGAGAGCTGAACTAACCATTGCATGAAAATCAGGCTTTTAACTCACACGGTTTTTGAGCTATCGTTGCAGTTTGATATAAATTTTGAAAAAACCCCTCCCGCTAGCTATGTGTGTCTCTTCACCTCGATGCCACGTTTTAGCCTAAGCATATTCATTCTGTTTGACACTGCTGGAAGTCCTCGTATATGTTTCGTAGTTGGAAGTTCATGACCTCTCTCTCTCTCTCGCTCTCATGTATTTGTCGGTTTTCTATTTGTCTTGTTTGTTGTTGTCGAGTCATTTGTTATAGGTTTATTGTTTTTTTTTTGCTTTACGACCAAGCCATGCAGCCAGAAACTAGGTTGGTAATATATATATATATATATATATATATATATATCTAATTATGGACAAACACACGACGTCACAACATCCATGGCAAAAGTGAGATTCGAACTCGCGGCCCGGCCGGCCGGCTGATCACTAGCACGACACTCTGACCCACGCGGCCAACCGAGGTACCTAGGTTTATTGTTGGTAAATAAGACATGTTTAAATCTCGTCCGCGATTATCGAAAGAGCGTTAATGCGTGGAAGCAGATCAGAAAAGAAACTCTCTTAGTAAGCATAAGCAACCAAAAGGCTATAGCGATACGGTCTAGATATAATACTAGCAGCATCCAAAGGTGCGCTTGAGCCCACCATGTAGAACTGGGAATGTACAACGTTTTTGTTGCGATTTCAAATCTGTGGAGACATCTAGCGGATATTTGGTTCGCCGAAGAATTTTACCTATTCTCTTAATTATTGAACGCCAATCTAAGAAATTCAAGGATATACATTGATATAATAAAGCACAGGAATCATGACTGGCAACGCTAAATAAATAAGCTATAAGTAATAACAAGTGAGCTTGTAGTTACAGCCACGGCGGTCAATGTGTTAAAAATGGTAGATTCCGTCCCTGCGCGTTGCACATCTTTGGCCTCCCCGATGCATCCAACAGCCTACCATTCAGAGCGAATTAGCAACGGGAAACCATTGTTACGTCCACTAACAATGACAGCCAGTCTCGTAGTTCACTATTACTATAGTGCAACTGAGAGATACACTTCGGATCTATACATTATTTTTGTATCCTTTTGTAGAGCAACATCGTGAACGCGCCCTACAATTGGAAAGCGTAACTTCGGCAATTTGACGGAACGATACCGCAATTCTGTTTCGAGAGGGTTTCTTTCAAGAATTCGGAAATTTGCACCATCATTTCGTCTTGAGAGTCTACATCGGCTAAATGTCTACCTCCTTTTATCTGTGATCGACACCTGGCAAGTCCTCGGATGATCGTCGATTCGACCCGAGTTTTTTTTATAAATTCAAAACCTTCCATATCCACTTTACCTTGATACGTTTGACCTTCATTATTCTCAGTGCACATACAGAGGGAGAGTATATATTGACTCTGTTGTGGAATTTAAGCAAGCATCTAGATTTTTTTGATGGCATCGTCAGAATCGTGGTTGGAATGTTGCATTTTAATGATGAGCGTGGTTATACGACTGGATAATTAACTGCTATAAGCGTGTTTGATCTATCATTATGAGGAAAAGTAAAAGAACCAATGAGGCTTACAAAAAATTCAACGGTAAAGTTACATGTTATGGCATTTCAGCTTAAAATGGCTAAACTCACCACCCAACTATGTCATGTTTGTAGAGAATGAAATTTTCAACAAAACTTGTATTTATCAGAAATAAGATTAACTAATCCAATTTGACAAACAAAATGCAAAATACTTTTTAAGTGAAAAAAAAAACGGTCAAAATATTTCTTTAATATCATAATTCTCCACTTTGCTTCTATTACTTTTTTACATGCGATCAGTACGAAGTATTGCATCAAAGGAGTTTATCAAAATGGCAGCTATTGATATTGCTCTATAGTCACGATCATTTGAACAGCGGTATCCATAATGATCCCACTAAAAAAAAATTAACGACTTATTGCCGAACTTCAAATTCACACAAAAAAGTGAGGAGACAATTCTGGTAAAATCGGTCTGAATTCTTTTATTGTGTATTGCCTCTTTGACGTGTTTGTCTTAATGCAAGTTACGTACAGAATAGAATTTTTCTCTCATCCCATGGATTTTTTGTTTGTTTTGTTTCTCTCTAAAATGCATTAAATGGGTATTTAGTTGCTAAATGTATGCTACTGCTAGGCTGTGCAAATGTTAAACATGATCAAGTCTAGCTGTCACAATATGCAATAACATAGTAAGTACATCCGATGAATAATCTAGAAGTAGCAAGTGTTCCTAATCAAAGTCTTGCCGTTCGGAAACGCATTAAAAATTATATTCACCAGACGTGATTTGCATCAAGATGTCTAGAAGTTGCTAGTTTCTTCACCAACGAAGTTTTAGGCAACTCAGCTTACTGGGTTTTGTAATTGCACACATGCTCGCAATCATTTCTCTATAAAATAAAATGAGGATGAAACAAGAATGTATATTGTTGTATTTATGTTTACTGTATCTCCGGAAATAATGATCAAATCTCCAATTCCAGACAATAGATCTCAACGTGATGCTTTAGAATGTACAAACAATGCAAAAACCTAGCAATTCGAGTTACTATGTTTTTCGATTGATGTTTAGTATTATCTTCTTCAAGCTTACTTCAATAGGTGCATTCAAGGAATTATACCACGTCTTCTTGGCTTATTATTAACACAACAAGTGAACACTGATGAGCACACTTGCACTATCTACATGAGCTAGTAATAACAATATCTACAGATCTATAAATGCGTGTGAGTCATTTCGTGGAAGATTCAGTCACAAAATGCAAAAACATTACCGAAGATATAAACCTGAACATCAATAAATCGTTTATATCAAAGTAATCTTATAAGAACTTGTTGTAAATATTAGTGTATGTTAGGTTTGATTGTCGATTAGTGTTAACAGAGCTATGCAGAAAACGTGTAAATGGACATCCCAAAATAAATCTTTCTACTTCACACATAAAAGGCGTTTCTATTGAAAGTATTATTACAGACTGAAAAATGCGCAGATAATTCGATTTATTGGTAATATTAATAATAAATAGGCGCGGACTTAAAATATAATGTATTCAGGTGTAGAGTGCGTTACCGAGTCCCTGCCACAGTTTTACCAGTGCCTCTCACCCTTTCGTTTCTTTCGCCACTCGACATAATATGAACAAAGCCAGTGCTTTCGAAACATCATAATAAAATGACCATCATCGTTAACATTTATCACTAGTACTATGACTTTCAATACCCCAACAACTAATTTCCATAACATGGCAGAGGTTTCTGATTGAACTACGTGGGTCGTGGCAGAGCTTGATAACTGCCCAATGGTATGTTGGCACCGCCTTCGTGATTGTTCGCATATAAAGAACAGATTCTTTGGTAGCTGCATCAAATAAATGCAAAATGTGTATCAATAATCTATCGTTACTCAACACAAAAGCAAATCTACAATAAATCTTCCTCTGGAGAAGTGTTCGATGGCAAACTGTCCGTGCGACACAATTACCCAAAATTATGCTTGTACACACCCACACAAAACACCAATATAACTACCTAAGGCTATCCCAGACACCTGTGCACAAAGCCGCATTGTACGCTGTCCGTTCATTGATACTCAGAGCATGAATGGTGTAGTAGAGTAAAAGCTGAAAGCCGCTTTACGGTGACAATGACCAAATAGCATTTAAAATATATTAGAGGATGCTATAACAATTTCACGAGCGTAGTTACAGGTTTTTGCAAGGAAACAACGTACTTTCAGAGACAGTACTTTGCTTTTTCAATGTTTTTAGGTACTTATATCCAACAAGGAAGACGCGCTTCCAGAGACAGTAATTTGATTCTTCAATATTATTTGGTACTTATGCCCAACAACGACCACGGCGAGGAGGTATTATGAAGCCGACACCGAGAGAAGTTTTAAAATTCGCTCTACTTGTTTGTACATCTATTAGGTATGGAAGAGAAAACACGATTTTTTTTCATGATACGTTTTTTTGTTACGTTACTGGCCTTGAAACTAGAAATTGGGATTTCTTCGACGAATTTTGTTTGAACTCAAAAGTATTACATTGGGAGTAGCAAGCATGGCTTCGTATATGAAAAATCTGTACTTTTTGATAAAGAAGTCAAATTTGAATTATGAAGAAATTTAAGGCGCAAAACCTCAAGTTAACATTTTAGGTGACCTTTATTTGAACTTCCGATGTGACCTATATCTTAGATTTTAATACATGCTCGAACGTGGGACTTTACTTTCTCTCCATCGCTGGTGTGAATCAAGAGGCTTTCTATTTAAAGAATAAAAATTAAATTTTAAATAAGCTTGAACGTGATACCCTTTCATCACTTTCGTTGCATCCGATATATTAGAGCTTCACACATTCCTCTGAATTGTGACGAAACAACTTTTGTCAAGAAAAAGTCTTTCTACGCCCATGGATTTCTATGGGACATTTTGACACAGGTAGCGCGGCACACAGGTTGTACGAGTCCATTCATAGAGAACTTGTAAAATCGCGGTGAATGCGAAAGTCAAGTATTCGCATAGAATTCGGCTGCATTTTGAAAACAGAAATAAAAAAGAAGAGTAGTGGATCGGGCATTGTGCCCCGGAAATACGGGCACCGTGTGAGAAATTCCTTGAGGATGACAGCCCTTTGTCCTGTGCCGCATTAAAGTGACTTTGATGATGGTGAGAGATGTCTTGGGAAAATTTAATTCAATAGACAATAGGTCAAAGAGGAGGGCAGCGCCTTTAGAATATGTAGAAATATTAAAAAAATTGATCTTTTGGATGCTTGTGATGGGTATAATAAAACCGCAATAGAATGTCTTAAGATTTCCATTTATAAGTCAATGGCTAATAGAAAGTACTCCATTTAATGTAATAATTATCCAGGGCAAGAAGAAAGGCAGTGATGCTTGCCCTACTCAAGTGAGGATTTGACGTATTGTTTTTACTTATCAAAACTTTTAGAAAATCCACCCTCCATTTTCTTGGTTAGATCAAGTCAGAAACCAGAAATTAGAGCGATGAAATTGAAGCGTATTTCAACTCTAAAGTGATGGTTGCAAACAGCAAAATCGTAGACAGCAGCCATCCTAGAACATTACTTCAAAGGAATGGGGCTCTTGTACGCCGTATGAATATTTTGTAGCCTCACAACATAAAACCACTACCTTTCAAAATAACGGACACGTAGGGTATTGAAGCTGGGCGTTTTTAAACTGAATTAATTATAGTTCAACAATCAATCGTTAAAAAGTTATGGTGTTCTATACCAATCTTGTCTTGAAAAGATGGATTCATCCGGATATGTAACAAAATCTGGAACACTCCATTCAACAAGAATGTTACAATTTGCCAAATTATATATTTGAATGGACTATCCCATATTTTGAGGCACAATCAGTGATTGTTTTTTTTTTTTTTTATATTCCAACTACCACGAAGGCCTAAGGCCTAAGCACCCATTGGGTACCGTGGG